ACCTGCTTGTTTGTAATTAATGTAAACCACTGTCAATTTAAATAGAAATGTGATTTAACACAATTTCCCAAAGATTCCTTCAATCGGATGTGGTTGAATACAAGCGTTACTTTAGACAAAACCTGTCTAATTAGTCACCACTTGTCTAATGTAACACAAATAAGCTGAAGGAGTTTAACCCCTGATGTAGAGTAGAACAGTGAAACGTGCACCAATCAGCCACAACATGAAAACGACGTGCCTTCTATTGTACTTTTCAGGGTGGATTATATTTTTATACTTGGTGAGACAGGGGTTTTGTTTTTGGGTGGGAAGAGGGTCCCACACTTTATAGTTTGTATCGAAATGGACTTAGCCTGTTTTACGTGCATGAGAAAGTTGTCGTAGAGAACTTACTGAACAATTCTGGTTGAGAAGGGAGATGAGGGAGCGATGGAGAAGAAGATGGAGAGCATTTTTGTTTGATCATGTGATGTACAGACATCTTCTGTTTTTGTAGTGTCACATTAAAATGTTTCAGATCATCAAACTAATTTTAATGTAAGACTAAGATAACCCAAGAAAACACAAAATGCAGTTTTAGCACGATGATTTCATTTATTGAAAGAAAAATGCTGTCCATTCCCACCTTGCCCTGTGTAAAAAAATAATTGCCCCTTTCTACATGCATTTCACATTGCCCAGGTCTCTCACTGTATTTCGCTGGCGCTCCAGAGCCTTAGAAATGGCTTTGTGACCCTTTCCAGACTGATACATGTCAATGACTTTGTTTGGCATCTTTTCTTGAATCTCTTTTAGAATGTGGCATCATGAGCTGCTTTATGAGACCCTTTAGGCGACTTCTCGATGCCAGACGGGTTCTATTTAAGTGATGTTTAGATATCACTGGCAGTAATCATATGTGGATGTGGCTGCTGAAACTGAACTCAATCACCAAATGAATTTGGTCATTTTGTAGATTGGTAGCTAAGGGGACAGTTATTTTTTCACATAGGACAAGGTGGTGCCGGACAACATTTTTCCTTCAGTAAATGAAACCATTTAAAAACTGCATTTTGTGTTTTCTTGGGTTAACGTTGTCCTACATTAAATTTAGTTTGATGATCTGAAACATGTAAGTGTGACATGTGCAAAAACAGAGGATATTAGTCTGTTGGCAAATACTTTTTCACAGCACTGTTGCACTGCACTGATGCACTCAGCGACTGCAATCAATTCCTTATTTATTTTTTTATTTATTGATTCATTGATTGCATTTTAATGTGGTTATTCTTTACAGTGGAACTGGCAACTTTATGTTCCCAAATATTACTTAATGAATTTCATTTCAAGGTATATTTCTGCATATTTTCAAAGACATTTTAAAACAGATTTTTATTACACACTTAATGAAGCCTGGGTAAGGAGAGCGGTCCATTAACGAGGACCCATGTTATCGTATGCATCTTATTATGCAATAAACTTTTAGCAACTAAAGCAAGAAAAGCATATGGAGGAGCAATGTTAGGGGCTTTAAGCATTCACCGGGGAATTGGTTGGTTGGAATTGGTGGAAAAGCTGCAGAAGCATGTAATGAAGCTGAACAGCGGCATTTTCCCGCACACAGGACTCATTACACTGTCGGCTCATTTTAACGTGGCTCAGCGCTATTTGCAAGCGCAATACCAGTAATCCTATAGCACAGACTTGTGTCACTTGTACTAGATGAGTTGCACTCTGTCTGCTCAGTTTATGCACTATAATGATGAGAACTGTCTAGAATCATGTGATTAAGATCTCAAGAGAATGAGTGTGTGTGAACATTTCCACTTGCAGCCATAGAGTACTAGAAGTTACACTTAGTGGTGTTACAAAAAAGGATCTCACTAAGTTCCATGCAGTTAAGCAGTGTTGTGGAGATTTTAATTTTGGAGGAAGCATAAGCGCAGTTTAATCTGTGCATCCCTAATGATACATTCATGTGTCAGTCATGAGCTGTTCTTGCCTGATTGAAGTTGATGTAGTAATTAATATGAGGGGTGTCACTGTACAAACAGTGCAGGAGCTTGTGCTCCACAGTCAAGTCCATGCTAGTCTCCTAAAAAAAAAACAGAAGGTGTTCTGTCAGGCTTCTTCCAGAGGGATTGTGCCTAGCAAAGGTTTGCTGTACCACTAACCCTACATGTTTTTGCGAAAGATGATGAAACATGAGATCAGCTCCAGTAAAACCCCAGAGAAACAGACGACCCAAGAAGAGAAATCAGGTCATGTACAAGAGATGGTAAGCTGTACAAGTGTGACTGGCAGAGACTTCTGGGCTCAACATGGGGAAGGTAACTGGCATGTGTATCCTAAAAACAAAGGCTATCTGCAAAAGGACATTTTAGGATGATCAGATGTAGAAGCCTCAAGGAACCCATGTGAAAGCTGAAAATAATATAAACAGGAGGCAGTGGTGCAGCTGGGAAAACAGTACAGGGATGACATGTACAAATAGAGACGTTTTCACCAAACTGTGAGTGACATTCAGGAGGCTGCAGGAGGACAAAGACAAACTTCAGCCGCTGTTCTCCTACATCTCTTCTCTTTTCTCTCTGTCTCTCTCTCCCCTCCCCCCTTTTCTCTTCATAAGATGATATATATTTATGGTATGAGACTAGCAACATGTACATATTTGTGACTAAAACATAAACCGAAAGATGATTTAGTTTCTTTTACTCGACATTTTCAGCGATTCAGAGGTGAAATAAAAAGAGAAGCTGTCTGTTGATCAGAGTGTTTACTCTCATTTATTTTTTATATATCTCCGGGTTCATCTCAATGCGGCAAAACATAGTGTTGCTCCATTTTAATTTAATTGGGGAGGCTGATCTGAATATTCATTAATTACTATAATAAACCCTAATCATAAAACTCTTCAGTTTTCCCTTGAAAACTGAAGAGTAATTTTGCAGGTCCAATCTCATTTGTCAGTTTCCATTCACAAAAAATAACTAAACAAACGTTAATCAAGATGAAATAATGCAATGTATTAATAGAATATGAGTAATTTGCTGAATGCCAGTGCAGAAACCCGAAGCCACTAAATGGATGAGTGACTGTCCTATCTGCTTATAAATTATATTACAACATAGTTTCCCGGAGTTTTATTATTTGTAAGCGGCTGTGAGAGCACAATGCTCTGCAGCTTCAGAAATCGATTCCAATAGGCAAAACACAAGCAAATGAAGAACATCTTTACTATATGTCAGTTTGTGCAAAGACTGAAAAAACAAAGATTACGTAAGGGTCACGGGGCTGGAGGTTGCCAGTCAATCACAGGGCTCACACAGACGGACAACCATGCATGCTAACACTCAAACCTGCAGCCAATCAATTTAGAATCATCGATTAACCTACCATGGATCCGTCTGGACTGTGGGAGGAAGTCGGACCACCTGGAGAAAACCCACGCAGGCAGACAGAAAACATGAAACTACATTGAACCTCCTCGCTGATCATCAGTTTGTAACCCAGAACTTTTTAGCTGTGAGGAATTGTTGGTAGCTGCACCACTGGTCTGCCAAACTAACCTCCTGAATGTTGGTTTTCTGCATGTTTACCATGTCGGAGCTATCAATGTTCTTGTCAGAGTGTAACAACAAGAAAGCAAATAGGTATGTTCTCTAAAATGGGAAATTATTCCTTTAAAGACCAACTCCAATGAAAATCCTGTTTTAATCCAGTTACCATGTTCATGTGGTGTTTTTTTTAGGCTACAATTCACACCATGAACTAAAGAAGTCGTGCCCACAATGCCTTATCATTCCTTCCTTGACACTGCAGTGTACTGATGACGGTCTTACAAACACAGATTCAGACTTTTGGCGTTTTGCACTTAACTGACTTGTAAAGTGGGGCTTTCCATATTGTTCTTCAGAGTCTGTACATGTATGTCTGAATTACGCCATTATTGTCTCTCATGATTGTGTAGCCTAGTTTTACAGTGTTTGAGCAGAGCTGTGGGTAAGCTGGTGTGCTCGAGCTGCAGATGATTGAGTGGGACTTCACACACCTGCACATTATAAAGTGAGCAACGGTGTAGATTTACATTGAAGTGGTTTAAAGAAATTGCGAGATTATTTTACAGATTTCTTTCCCCACACTTTCTAAATATGCAATTTTGACAGAAGAATTTTTGTAAAAATATTGAACTCTCTTGACCATAGTAAGCTTGACAATGGGCTAATAATAATAAGAATTTAGGATTCTATATTTCATAACACAGAACATTGCCTGAAGGAAGTGGCTTAATTCAGGCCATGTACTTCTGTCACATGTCAAATGAGAGATCTTACATTTATCCAAACATGATCATATTCCCATCATTCCCAAGTGGGATATTTGCACTGTCTCTAAACATCATCCTACAGTCAGTCAATAATGTATTGTCCTCTGACTACAAGCATTACCTGCTCTTTGTTGCACAATGAAAATGTGTTCCTTTACAACATTTCTCAGTGTTCGACATTCATAAACTATTCCTTCCCAAGTCTCAGTGCTTGACACCACTCAGGCTCAGAGGGGATGAGGCCTACACACAGAATAGCTAATACAGCTACCACCAGCTCAGAAATAGAGGAGTAATACCAGAATCCCCGTCTTGTCATTTCTCACAGGCTTAGTCTCGCTTTTATCCTTGATGTACACTGTATCCTGATGTAATGCAGCATTCATGTCTCTTTATCCACTGTGTACCTCAGCTGACTCAGCAATAGAACATTTCTCAATGGAATTATGTTCCTGAAAAATCTTGAACCGTTTTGGTAAACACAACTTGTCTGGACCAGCCTTGCAAGCAGTGATCGGCGATCTCTAGGAGAGCGAAAGATGAGAAAATGTGGCTTCAGGGTCGGTCACTCCACGTCTCAGGGCCAGCGCTGTATATCTCCATTGTTTATATTGTGCAGAATATTTGTCAAAAGCCCACTATTTGTGCTACAAGTGACATTTCCAGGTATAAAAGCTCGTTGCAACTTTTATCAGAATAAAATTATTTATATTCTCTTGACATGAAAGCAGTTCTTTGTGATTGTCAGACAGACTGTTAGATTTTAAAATGGGATAATCTGTTTCGCAGTAACAAGCATTCAACACCATGTCCAAAATGAACGCAATAGATCAAATGAAAGCCTTAGAGCGACGACTCTTTATGACAAACCTTGTTTCCCCCCCTCTGAAAATAAGAAGATTAGCATGTAGTTGTGGACACTTGATTGAATGAAAAAAGTACAAGCAAGAAGGCAAATAACAGTCATATTTACTGCAAGGTTTACACTCAGTGTAATAAAATGCTCATTTGGAATAGTTGTAAATGTCATTTTTTATAATTTATTGTAACTTCAAACAAAAATAATTTCTACAAAAAATATTCAAATAATGTCATATAATATTGATACGTGGTTCATATCTTTTCTCTCTCTTTTTAGACTTTTGATTAGTTAGATTCTGTTAAATTCTGCTTCCTGAATACTGTGTGAAGATTAAATCTCGCTAAGTGTGGCAACAATCACTCATTCCTATAACAACCATAATAGTGACTATTTTTATTTTTTTTTTATAATTCATAACCCCCTGGATATTATATAATATGTATAATCTCAGCGACTGCTAGTGGGCACATTAGATACAATGACTGAAGATATAATTTTAAAAAAATGCAGCAGAAAGAGAATAAATGTAAAATCAAGTCTCATCTTTAGAGAGGAAATGAAACCTGGTTAATATACTATGTAGGCCTCAGCAGCAGGATCAAATGAACATCTCGCCTCCCGACCCGTCCGTCATGTGTCCATATGTCTCGTCCTCGCGTGGAGTCTGACCACACACATGTTGGCCATCAGTCTAACGGAGGTGAGATCCTCAACTCAACCAAGGAAAAAAAAAAAAAAGAGAAAAGAAAGTCCTTGTGGTTAAAACAGCCATTCCCTTTGAAGTGAAACAGTGGTGATTTAAGTGTTTATGCTTTTTGGTTTGATGCACATTGCTCCAGCTCAGGAATAAAGGGAACAGTGGTTGGTATGATTATTATTTTTTTTTTCCCCTTTCGACTGCATCTCTTTTCTCTGAGGTCGTTCCCCTTTTTTCTCTGTTTGTCCTTCTTGCACCTGAGCACACACTCACAATCATAACAGTCCTGTGAGGTGTGTATATGTGCTTGTGTGTGTATGTATGTGTGTGTATGTGTTTGAAAGGAGAATGGGGTTAGGTAGTGTTCTGTGAGTGTGTGTGCTTTTTTTTTTTTTTAAGAGTGCTGCAGTGTGCGTTTGCAGGGTCCATGACTGCGATGGCCCTCCCCGGTCTGGGTCACACTTTGCCTCACATAGACACACATATACACACACTCCTTGGTCTAAGGGGGGGTTTCGTGGCTCAGTGGGGTGTTAACGTGGCCTGCAGGTAGGTTAGCAGAGTGCAGAGCAGCAGGGTGGCCGTGGAAAGGTGCGGCAAAGAAGCGCCGCTGCAGTCCTTGCCCGCCTCGCAGCGGGAGTGTTGGCACAGTACTCCCTTAAACTCTGGAGGACAGATGCACTTCTGGCTCTGGTAGCACGTTCCTCCGTTCTGGCACAGGAGCATCTCCTCGTCGCAAACGTTAGCTGTGAGCATAGACAGAGGGAAGACAGAAAGAGCACGGCGGCGGGAAAAAGAATGGGAAGAATGGAGAGTGAAGGATTTGCAGAGGTAAGGAGAACGGGAGTGGAGTTGGGAATAAAGACGATGCAGCAAAGTGACAGAATGACAGGTGGTTAAAGGATAGTGGGGGAGTAAAGAGCACAAAGATGAAGGGAAGATGTATGGAATAGAGGAGGACAGGGAGGAAGATAAGGAGGGGTAATGTTAGAAAAAACATGATAGGAAACAGATACGGGCGAAGGGGAAGAATTCAGGGCATAAAGAACAAAGTAGAAAAGAAAGCAGAAGGAAGGAAAGAGGCAAGATAAATTCTCCAGTCTTTGCCTCAGGGACTACAACAGGTAACACCTGCCTTTTTTTGTTTTTGCAGTCCTTTTTTCTGTCTGTTTTTCTTGAGCCTGCACTTTCTCAGGGTCAAGTCAAAATCATTGTATCAAACCCAGCAGAAAACACACTGCACGTGTGATATTTGTTAAGTAATGATTGGAGGAACGAGAAGCATCATTAAAATGCTGTAAAAGGCATTAGGAAATACACAGAGGTAGTTGCGCAGCACAAGACACTTGACCTAAAAATGTTCTGAGAGATAACAGAGGATCAGGTTTCCATGACAAGGAATAATTACATGTGCTAACATTTTTTATTACACCACAGATAATTGGCTCTGTTGCATTGGAGTATTTAGAATAAGATGTCAAACCTAAAACAAACTGTACTGCAATATATTACCGTCTGTCCCATATCGTAACAAACCCCCAGTCAGAATGCATGCCTGCCTGAGTTTTTAAATGTGTGTGTGTGTTGAGAGGTGGGGAGGGTTTTTCTGAGACAGGGGCCCCTGACTAGATGGTGGATCGCAGAGGAAGGCGATTCCCTGTAATGGGGTTAAGGTGTGACAGGGTCATCAATTAAAGGAGCAGCTGATGCTACTAATGAGCTACATGATCTATTCCCCTGTGAGTAAAGAGAACATCAGAAGCTACACAAGCTAAGTGGACGGTGCACTCACAAGGTCCTGTGAAAACCTGCAACATTTCTTTAACCCTCAAATTTTTCAACGTGAACCTACCAAATATCAGAGTCCTTATACTTACGGTAACATCCTTGTTTCCAGTAGTATCCTGGCAGACAGTCGTCACATCTGGCCCCCGTGGCACCTTCTTTACAATAACAAAAGCCTGTGGTGTTACACCGGTCATGAATAGAGCCCATCTGGTTGCAGTTACACTCTGAAGAAGGGATTGGTGGAGAAAAAGAAGAGAGGGAGACATTAAAAAAAAATCCCTGCCTCCTTTAAATTTTGGGGATTTAATCTAGAGTTGAATCAAGTTCAGCCAAAAATGTTCACATTTGTATTCAGACCACACAGTTGTTTGATATTCAACTGCTTCAGAGCTACAATCCTGTGCCTCTGAGGTGGAGCTTCTCCAAAGTACAGAGATGTCCCAAGATGGTGCAGAGATTCAGACCTGAAATTTAGGCTCTTTTCAGCCAGAAATATTTTCATGCTTTCCCACCATGCACCACCCTGATGAAATTTCTGATGCAAAATGCCTGTTTAGAGCTTTTTTATCCAGTACTTGCAGATAATGTGAAAAATGAGACGCTGTCTCGACTAAAAACTACAGTGATTTAAAAGACATTTCACTTTTCATTTTAGATCCCACAGGTCTAATTCTTTCAGTGGAGCGCTACCACACAAACTGTTTGAAGGTCTGCTAGAGGTTGAATTAACAGTGTTTCAACAAATTCACTGCCATGGGTTTCCTAAGAACAACACGTCTCATACAGCCTTGAAGAGGTTGATTTCTCTCCCACCTTACCTTTGAAAATACATTGACAGATGTCTTTTATGTCAAAATGATGTTGTTTAGGAAACTAACTCCTCCATGACGTAGAACTGCAAGTTATTTTGAATATCTGAATTCAAAGGCAGGTAGGACAAGTGTTAGGAACATTAAACAGTTGACTGAGTTGATAAGCCTTGTGCCTACTCTTGTTATGCAGCTTAAGTAAACAAACTTAAGTTCCGTCTGTTGAGATTCTGATTCAAGTGAACTATTGAACACTTTAAACTTTGGTCTCAACTTTGGTCTCAGAAAACCAATAACTCTCCATCTCTACCCACTGGAGTCCCAGAGCAAATTTTTACACTGGTTAACACTGGAAAAACAGGAATACAGGTGCAGATAAATATTTTGTGCATCTGACCTGTTATGTTTCATTGGGATGATCTGGTATCTCTTCTTTGGTTGCATTAGAAGCAGCCTGGTGCTGAAATACTGGACGGATGAGGACTGCTCTTTCGTCAGTGTACCTGACATGGGACAAGTGTCTTGCTTTTTCAACATTTCAATTTAGAGCATCGATGCTCTGACTGCAGAAACACTGTTCCCAGCTTTGCTCTGGCTGCAGTAATAAATGTAATGCACAGCGTTTTATTCTAACTTAGTGTTTCACACAGTTTGAGAAGTTATTTGTGTTTGTGGGCGGTGACTGATGTGCAGTGCAGAGACTGATGCAGTTTAAAGCAGATGACTGTAACTCAGGTTGTTTTCTGAAGCTACAGTTCACAGATGTCCTCGAAATGTGAACTCTTGGTAGACGCTACCGTTTACTGATTTATTATGTATTAGAAGAACCGCGATAGGCAGCTCGGCACCTCGAGTCTCCACTCGGTCACTGCGGTGCATCAACTCAAACAGGTGTGTGGCCAGAAATTTGTTTGAAAAGAAGGCGTTCTAATATAAGAATGACCTAAACCATGACTTTATCTACCTGAACACGTTGTCCATAGACATACCTGCTAAATGTCAGGTGCACAGGTGTGACCAATGACAATGTTTAGTCGCACTTGACAGATTTTTTTGGCCGCACCCTGAAGCCCTGCTAAGACCACGTGCCAAATCATTCTCTGACAGATTTACCCTCTCTGTAGTGTTCACCTCATCATCACAGGGTAACATTAAATTTAGATTACTTTTAAAAATAAACTGCTTTATTTCTGCATTAATTATTTTACCAAATGCAAATATGTAGACTATGGAAACCCCAGTCACCCAGATCCGGCCTGTTCTGAGTGCTGAGAATACAGTGTGGCTCAGAAGGAGCTTTTTTTCTTCAGGCGGTTTGTGTGCTAAACGAGGACACTTCCCCCTCGAACACTTGAGACACAATCACATTCTATTTTATAGGTGTGTAAACAGAACAGAGGGGTACAGATTGATTCTTGATAACACAGTTTCATACTACATGTCTGTATCACGCTTAAGGTTCTTGTATATGACTCATATCTGCAGTACTGTTTGTACATACAGTACACTTAAAGTTTTTGTGCTATACTTTTAAATTTGCATAAATGGGGGCCACAGTGGGAAAACAATTTACCACCATTGTATTTACCACTGTGTATGTGATTAATTAAACTGGAACTTGAAACTGATATTCAAATCAGTTGGCAGCAGATCAAAGCTGGTAAAAAAAAAAAAGCAACTGCAGAGCTGCGTATTGGCATTGCATTTGTCAGTCAGCTGATGATGAATTAGAGTTTCTCTCATGGCTTGTCTTTTACCCAAGATCTGCTTAACTAATTTTAAGTATAAAATATTCATAAACATAAGAAAACAAGCCAGATTAAAAGAACCACAGCAATGCGGTTGGTATCCCTTTGTTTGTGGGTCATGTGCATTAATATGGGATTCTGTGTGAGCTGCTGTGAGACTGTGTGTGGAAGATGCGAAGCTGTGCAAAATTCGTGTGCAAATGCGTTTGTGTTTGAGAGTTTTTGGTTCCTTGCTGTAGAGATGCTGGTGTGAACGGATTTTTGTTGCCATGCTTGGTGTGCTGGCAGATGAGCTAATGGGGCCTTATTTGTGCTGACTCCAAGGCCTGGCCCTGTGTGTGCCCCGACCGTAGCGAGTTTACCCTCCAACCCCCTGCAGTCCACCTACAGATGGATCCAAATCAACACCAGATTTTAGCTTCACAGCATTGCAAAGAGAGTGACCTCTTATCAGGACATGCCCTTAGTAAGACTAAGTTTAAGAGTAAATACTGTGAAAGCAAACAGACTGTGTATATCACTGTACATAAAGATGAACTATTTATCTACAGCACAGCGAGTTTCGATGTTTATCATTGTTTTGGCGCTGCACTCCAGCACATTGGTTATATTATGAGTTTAAAGAGTTGACTTTCAGCTTTAAGGCTGCCTGAGGGTGTATGCATCAGTACTGAGTGAACAGTGTAGGTCTTCTTTAATTCATTCTGTTCCACCCAGCTTCAGGACAGCAGCACACTAGCCCTAAAAATTCATGAGGTTTTCATGTTCAGACAATAAACAGCTGTTGACTGGCTACGTCAGTCATCTGAGCACTCTGAACCCCAAAACCCACCAGCAGGTTTGAAGGACATGTTGTCTTTAAAAAACAGAAAGCAAAGTTTAATTTTCATCTTTCTGGCGGTCCTTGAACCACTCATCTCATGCTGTTTAGTTGGAAAACTTAACCAAATATAAGCTTACAATCTCTAAATGTCATCAAAATCACTTTATTTTACAAGCCTCATTTAAAAAAAACAAGAAAAAAAAGCACATGCTCCAACCAGATTTTGTAAAAACCCAAATTTCTGTACTTGACGACACAACCAAGAAGCCTTTATGAACTCATCTGCGAACAGTCATGTAACCAAAATTTTGGGACTTTGTGGTTGAGCTGCTCTTAACTGCTGGCTTTGCTCACACACAGCAGATATAGTACAAGTATGGGGACCAATGAAAATGTAAGTAGTAAAATATCTATAGTATCAATAGTTTACTTTTTTTTCTCTACCACTTAATAAAACAAAAAAAACAGATTTTAAAATCTTTGAAAAAACAATCAAAGAAATTCAACTTTAATTTTTCTTTATGATTAATGGCATTATAACATTTATTTTTTGTAATCTCTACCTGTAGCCATGGTTATGCTGTATCTATAGATATACAGAATATGAAAAATGAGACCACTATGAAATGTGACAAGAGCAAAACACCCAAAAACTGCTTAGGGGTTCAGAGGGTCAACAAGCACTTTCTTAATATAGAATATTATATGGAATGTTCATACCAAGTTAGCATTAGGATTACCAAGCTACTTTCTGCTCCCTACAGTTTGGAGTCCATGTATAAAAAAGGACTACAATTTCCTCCCTCTTCCTCTGATATGGATGTAAACACACTCAGCTGGAATCTGACAGCGCTTTAATCTCATAATCATTGTCTCTTTTCAAATCCTGCGTGCTGGAGTACAGTGCCAACACAACAAATATGTGTTTTTATAGAAGTGTCAGGAAAGCAGCAATATAGTTTCAGGGAAAAAAAATAGATTCTTAGTTTTTTTTATGCATAAAAATTTCACCAGTGCGCTACCTAGATGTGGTAATTTTCGGTTCAAAAACACAACAACTGAGTAGTTGCTTGAATTTTAAAAGCAGCCACAGCATCTCATTGTCGGCTTCTCTGTCAATCACACACACACACGCACACACACACATATAGACACACACATCATCCCCCTCCACACACTCTCACTGTCTCCCAGCAGACTGACCGATGCAGACGCTCTCATCATCCAGTTCGGCAGAGGCGTTGCGGAAGTATCCGACTCTGCAGTGTTGGCAGTTCTGGCCCCTGGTGTTGTGCTTGCAGCTGACGCATGTGACGATGTTCAGGTAGTCGATGTAGCTGCAGCGGTTGGAGTGGCCGTAGCACTCACAGTCTAAATGGAAAGGCATTAAACAGCTTTAAATTTCATTCTTAGGGGATGATAATTACAATTTTTTTTTGTAAAATGAAAAACAAATGGAAGATGAGAATATCACATTCTTGTGGGATCATTGGATGACAGGAGGAAATGATAAATGATCTGCGACAACAGATAGAAAGTTTGAGATGTCAGTGAACAAATGAATGACCCTGTGTGTGTTTTATGACTTGCCTTTCTCACTCTATATTGGTTCAATAAAGACAGACCACTCCCTCTCCATTACTACACTCACAGGTTTGCTGAGTCTGCTTCACTGTGCTGCACTGATTACTGATGGGAATTCCACTATCCTGTGTGGTTGTGAGTGTCTGTCTGTGTGTGTGTGTGTTAGTGTGTGTATGTATGCAGGCGCATGAGTACAACCACGTTAATTGTGTCTGGGAATTTAATTGTATTACCGGATGAGTAGATTATAAGCTACAGAATCGTAACCAAGGGAGTTTGAGGTGAGCGATACAGTGGGTGTTTCCAGACTGTACCCGACACCATGAAATCAGCCTGACCCTGGTTAACCCGATAGAAATCAGTGTCTCTTCTGGAACTGGGTGATCTTGATGCTTCCCACAATGATGATAACAAAAGTGGTTAGTAATTTGCAATAAATGCAACTCTTGTACATTCTGGTCAGCCACAATCTCTACAATCACCCCATCAGTCTGCAGCAATTTGGTTCCATAGCTGCTGGGCACACAAACTGCTCTGGTTTTATTAGGTGGCATTGGTCCAACTTTTCTTGCTGGTTCCCAACACCTGGCCATTAACGCCAATCCATGGTTTCCGTATGAGAGATGCAGAGTTTAAAAGCAATAACTAGACGTGCACGTGGTTCTGTTAATACCACAATAGCTATGTGTCGGTGTCGGTCACTTTGCCTCCTCATGTCAGACATAGAAAAACACACGAGGCCCCTGTAAAGGCTAGCTGTGACTTTGCTCTTTTTACAAGACATAACAACTAGTGACAGCACCATCATGAGCACAGTAGGTAGAGATGGCACGGGATTGCTGGAGAATTTAGAACTTCCCACTGTGTTTGGGCTCTGTCGATATGAAACATGTCCAAATCAAAGCACCTCCCAAGTCTGGCAGCACTACTTCAGATGTGGATGATGGAGAATCCCTGTATGTGGGCTTTTGCAGTGTGGACAGTGTGTTGGGTCAGAAATGTTTAGATGTATGACATGCAGACGTGTAAAGCATGAACTGGCCTTCAGGGTGATACGAGGGGTCAGCTGCTACCTGCCACCAGCCAGGGCAGAACCTCGCTGCGTAACATCATTGATGCAATAGTTAACCGGAGTTGTACATACATGAGTTATTAAAAATTAGTTTAACTGACTCGTACAAGCATCTGTTTAAGCGAAATTAAAGTTGCAATAGACCAGTTTTTACTTAAATTCGCTATTATGAAGTAAATGTTTATGAACAATGTAATTGCTATAAAATGAAGCCATCAGTATTTAGATTCTTTCAACGTAAACGTTACTTTCACTGTTCAGTTCTGTCTGCTGCTGGGTAGGAGAAGTCCTGTGAAAATGACGACTCAATTTATGGCACAGAGAAAAATGGTAGTAACTGTGGAAACTCTACCCAGCAAAAAAAAAAAAAAAAGCCACATTGTTGGAGAAGAAAAAGAAATTGAAGAGAGAGAATGACAGAAAACGAGATAAAACCAGAGTGAACTTCGTGCTGACATTTTCTGGATGGAGAGACGAGAGACTTGAATGGGTTTAGAACTGATATTCACTTGGCATGATTTCTATTCGAGTAAGCAACAAAACCTGACAAGTTACTGATTCTATAAAACTGGGTTCTCTACTCTCCCTTTATCATGACAATAAGATTGGCGTATCCATTTTAAACTGACGATTTTACAGATGTTTTTTGTGTTTGACAGTAGCCAGGATATTAGCTTTGGCTAACAGTCATAAAATTAACCAGAAGCTTCTTTCTTCCCTCTCATTTCCGAACTATTTTGTTGAGCATTTTGCTGTGTTGCTGGTAGTTGCTAGACGATGAGAAAAACTGAAAGCAGTCCTGTCTTTGCGACAGTAACACCCCTAAAGGTAGCTTTTGGAGCTGCCTTGTAAACAAGTTATATTTACATCCAGTGTTTCACGCCAAAACAAACCGTGCGAATCTTCAGAACTAATGTGTTGAATGTTTTTCCTTCGTCAGTGTTGGTATTAAATGTGCATCGGTCTCGATTAATGAAAAGAAAAACATCATGACAATGTTTTTTTGCCCAGCTCTACTCTCTTCTCTTTTCACTGCTGGTTTTTCGGTTGCACAGTTTTAAATTTTCTTTTATAAAGTGCTGCACAATCAGAGCTCTTAATTAAACTTTCTCTTTGTAATTCATGAATTATCCGAGAGGATTTGATTGCAGGTTTTACTCTGCATGCTTGTGCGCTTGATAAATTAAGACTTGTTCCAAATTTCACACCCTAAAACCAAAACTGAAAAAATGATGATGTGAAGAAGCCCTCTGTATAATTTTTCCACACAGAAAGAAATAAATCCTGATATCACCTACTGTAGGCTGTGTGTTGTGCAGCGAGAGGTGGAGGAGTTTTTCTCTACAGTCTCTCCACGATTATCTTGGCTGAGGCTGGTACCTAATTAAGGTTTTATTAAGCGTTAGAAGTTGGCTGCAATAGTGTGCTGCAAGGCATCACTGTCCTCTAAAGAGGCGTTTACCAGGCATGTTTATGCAAATACACATTTAAATGCACATTAAAAAGTTGGAGTTTAGCTGTTTAATCAGCCGTCACATTATTATTTTATTATTGTTTGGTTGATGATGCCAGCTGAAATATTAATGTGCTGGTTTAAAGGAAGCCAGCGAGAGGAGCTCCATAAAGTGCCTCTCTCAGCATTGGAGGAACCATGCTAGCAGTGGGGGAAGAACTGCCTAATTAAATATAAATGGCCAATTACTCCACAGACTAGAGCGGCAATGGGACATTGTTCCACAAATTAATGTTACGAGTCAAGATGCTGCTTTATTGGTATTTATCAATTGTGAATTGTTAACAGTAAAAGACAGTTATATTGGGAAGACAGTGAGAGAAACTGCCTGCATCAAAGAATCTGTGAGGTTGAAAGAATAACGGTACATTTTGCGAACAAGCACCCTTTCTAAAAATCAATAAACACCAATGTCAGTGAAGGTAACTGTTTGATGATTTAATATGAATTTAAAATCCAGATTCTTACCTTGATCATGCACATAAAGCAAACACAACCACGAGGGAGATGCACAGGGAAAGAATGAGCAAAATGAAAACCATAAAACATGCAATGGAAGGAATTTTTCCACAGGTTTTCTACTTGAGCAACACCATCCACAGTTTAGAGAAATGACAGAAAGACTTTTAAAATCCACTGATCTGAACCAAAGGATGTAAAGCATTTAATGAAGCTTGAGTCTGCTGTGTGGTTCTCCTGACCACGTGCTGCTTGTGTTGGTCTCTTACCTTTGAAATCATCGTAAACGATCCCAAACAACTGTTTGGCCTGAGGCTCTCCTGAGATCAAGAGTTTCAGAAGCCCTTGAGGGATGAAGGGATCTTTGTTTAAGATTTGCCTCTGCATCATTCTGTGTGCTACAGTCATCTACGGCACACAGCTGGAGCCGCTACAGCCTAGAGGTCAGTGTCAGTACTACAGAAGGGTCTTAGGGATGAGATAGAGGGGGAGTCCCACTAGATTCTACCTTAAAGATGGGATCACTTTGTTCTAGAAAGCGGAATACCCTTCACCTACTGCAGTGTTTCCTAACTGGTTGCTTGTTTTAACAAAACTGAACAATCATCCACAAGAGTCTGTTTTCAAGGAAGGAACTGCTGATACGCTGCACAGAGTCCAGAGTTTTTAGGTAGCATCTGATTTGACTGCTTAAGATTGAACTATTTGTAATATCCTCGGTGGACTGGCAACTTGTTGAGCTTGTATTAATCACTTGAGCCCCAAGCCTTTTTTTTTTCATCGTGCTTCTGTCACTTTACTCTCTGAAGGCTCTTTATTTATTTATTTAATTTTATTGTAAAGTCCTGCACCTCTATGGAAACAGCACAACCAGCGCTAAAGGTGGAGAGAATTTCTGTGCAGTATAACAATGTTATAATGCCATAAGTCATAAAGAAAAGTTTTTTGTGATTATTAATTTTACAAATTTTGAATAAAACTTGGAATCAACATGTCAACAATATCAACATCTTTCCAAGTTCACACAGTAGTTACCTGTACTGTAAAGTTTTTCTACTATGGATATTTTGCTGCTAGCAATTTTCACTTCTTTAAGTTATTACAGTTTGTGGCTGATAGATGCTATAGTTTGTATATGGTGTTTCAAATATAACATGCCCTTCAGACCTGATGGAGGGTTTTTGGGGCCTTAGAGTTAAAGCATATCTTAATCTCTTAAGAATAATTGATTCAATCATTTTGAAATGGTGCATAAAGATTTTTTGAAACAGCAGCTGGCTAAACAATCTAACCACGTAAGATGATTTCCCGGATTCTTCTCGTTGGAAGGTTGTGTGGTATGATCCAAAGCTCCAGGATTGCCACTAATCCCACTACAGTGGAATCTGTTGTGAGTTGTTTTTTTTTTGTTTTTTTTCTGCGAACAGCTGTTTACATTGTCAGTAATGCAGGGATGAGAGCTCCGGCAAATGCTCAGAAAAATGAAAATTTGATCAGACATCAGGGCTGAACATTGTGATATGATTTAAAGAGCGACTTATAGGTTGGATTTTTTTTTTTTTACTAAAGTTATAATTAATATTTCTTCAATGTGATTGTTTGACAAGTTAATGCACAATTTCAGATGCTTTATGAGACTTAAAGGCAATGATTCAGATTAAAAAGTAGGCATTTTCACAATGTGACATATTATGTGACATTAGGGAGTCATTTCTTCCTTAGCGCAGTGAGAAATTGTAGGTG